CATCAAAACACCTGCAGAATTGGTGACTCGATAACACAAGCTCATTTTGAGAGAATAAACCCTGGCACAATTGACTGTTTTACAATATTAAGCGATCTGCATTCAGTATTCATGGTTGATGTGCATGTTTGTAGGCGACTGGCATTTCAAGAGACAATTTCAGGTTATGTCGGAATGATCATATTTACAAGATGAGCACAGTCGTTATTTTACATTTGTTGACACAAGTGGCATAGAAATTGGAATGTTTTAATTGTAAATATTAATCACAGAATTGTCATTATACTATACACAAAAAAGTTTGGGATCAATAAGATTTTCTTTTTGTTAAATACTTTTATTAATCAAGGATGCAATAAACTGATCAAAAGAGACCGTAAAAACATTTACATTATTAAATTTATATATATATATTAAATAAATGAAACTTTCTATTCATCAAAGAATCCTGCTTTTCTTTTTGTTGCATTAGTGATAAAACATCTATAGGTTTTTGCTAAAGTGAAAAAGAAATGCCCACATCAACTTTTTCACTTGCAAGCACATTGTAATTATGACTTCTAGGCTTGTAAGTGGAACTTCCCAGAAGGAAGGTAACATTAAAACCGTTAACTGATTTAGAACATTCTGGTTTTGGAATAGCCTTCATATGGTCTTTTAAAATGCTGTCTAGATATGCAACTCACTAGGTTTTATAACGGATCTCAAGTGTTTATGTACTGCAATAAGTTCTCATTCTCGGTTTAAAAAGAGAAAAAAATAATAATAAGGAACCTGAGGCTAGAATTTTAAATCAGAGCCACAAGGGGCAATATCAACTTCCTATCGTATCAAACTGCAGTGAAACGCCACAAGCGTTTGACCTCTTCTTTAGCTTTAGAAAGACGCGAGATAGAGAGGATTTTTTAAAAGTGCATTTGAATGTTTAGAATTTAAAAAATATATACATATTTGGAGTGCAGTTATGTCACTTTCTGTAAGCATTACTGATATAACAAAGGACTTAGCTTAGCTTTGTTTTCTTGGATGTTATTGTATGCATACTTTCCATCCATTTCATCTGCTATGAAGAGGCAAATAGTGTGCGTGATGTAAAATGTTTTTGAGATAAAACAGACACAGCTAAGGCTTCTCAACGCTCATCACAGAGCGACTTTAATTTGTCAGAAATGTCACGTTCAACATAGCCATGGGTTTCACAACATTTCAAAACACAACTATCATTGATTCCCGGTAAGGCCCTCCAGAGCTGAGGGGTCTGCAGCATCACATAGAGCACCTCAAATGTAGATTGAACCCCATAGCACTTGAGGGGATATGGTTGCGTACCTGCAAACAGCCTTATCAACCCACCACCACCACCCAAGACTGTTATCCAATGTGATGCCAAGCTAAAAGGCTCAGACGAATATGCAAAGAGATTTGCACATGCCCATTACAGGCCGTCTGCTGATCTCTGTGCATGCTTTCAAAGTGAATGCATAATTTTTGTTAGCAGAAAATCAGAGAAATCTGACTTCCTAAAACAGCGTGACACAGTTGGCCTTGAACTAAAAAAGCCTAATGCTTTTACCAGCACTGCAATTTGACCTGGAATGTGAGTTGAACTCATTCGAAAATGCTGGGAGAAGAAAAAAAAAGTATCTTGGCATTTAAACATCCATTTAGCACCAACATGATGTGCGGTGAAAAACTACAGCGAGCCATCTGTCCTGATTAGCTGAACAGCTCTCATTTGATAAAGGTCAAGTGTAAAATGTTCTGCCCAGTGACTCTTGGATTTTAACAGTAATGGGACGTGCAAGTCCAAATATTCGTATGCTAGATTTGTTTTTTTTGTTTTTTTGATTTTATATTATTCTGACTAACTGTATTGCTGCAATCACGTTGTGTAAGTAGTTTTAGATGTCCGTTCATGATTTATCCATTTAGCACCAACATGATGTGCGGTGAAAAACTACAGCGAGCCATCTGTCCTGATTAGCTGAACAGCTCTCATTTGATAAAGGTCAAGTGTAAAATGTTCTGCCCAGTGACTCTTGGATTTTAACAGTAATGGGACGTGCAAGTCCAAATATTCGTATGCTAGATTTGTTTTTTTTTGTTTTTTTGATTTTATATTATTCTGACTAACTGTATTGCTGCAATCACGTTGTGTAAGTAGTTTTAGATGTCCGTTCATGATTCTGTCAAATATACTGAAGTTTGAAACTCTGACTTCTCTGAAATTCTCTTAATTTTCCCACTTGTCTGTTGCGACGTCATCAAAAATGGCTATTGACAATGAACAGTTTTTGGATTGCACACTGCAGCTTATTCTGGCCAAATACTGCCCCCATACAAGAACAGAATGTCTGTATGGAATGATATTCCGGACAATATTCAAAAGGAATTGCAAATTGTATTTGCAATTACGTTTTCAATTTGTGGACTTTTCTTGGTTTTCCACCAGAAGTGGGCGTTGCATACTTTCCGACTATATCAATAAACCCCACCCTCAAGACTGATTGACAGCTGACTGAGTTGGTCATTGGAAATGCAAGTGCAAAGGGGATTGAGATTCCACATGAATTTTGTGAGGGTTGGAGCAGGATGCGGAGAAACTGAAATAGCAATTGGTGATTTTTCTATTGCTATTCCAAAATGACAGAATCATAACTTGTAATACATTGGAAATGGAATTGCAAATGGACTTGCGTTTGGATTTTGTCTCAACGTATGCGTCCACAAATTGAAAACGTAAATGCAATACAATAAAATGTGCAATTCCTTTTGAATATTGTCCGAAATATCATTCCATATATCTGGTCAGCATGTAGAGCAATCAACCCTTTTTTGTGTGTAAACTTTGAGTTCAGATTTGTTTTTTTTTAACACACCAAGGCTATATCCTGCTTCGTGTATTTGAAATAATGTTTTTTTTTATGCAAACCAAAGCTGCATTTATTTGAATAAAATACAGAAAAAAATAGTAATATTATAAAATATTACTACAATTTAAAAGAACATTTTTCTAATTTAAGATTTTTTTAAATGTAATTAATTCCTGTATTGTAAACCTGAATTTTCAGCATCATTACTCCAGTCTTCAGTGTCACATGATCCTTCAGAAATCATTCTAGAAACTTATTATTATAATAATTGTTTATAGGATTGTTTGATAAATAGAAAATCTATTCTAAAATCTAAAATCTATTCTAAATGAATAGCATTTATTTGAGACTTTTTTGTGTAACAATTTGATGTATTTAATGCATTTTTACAGAATAAAATATGAATTTCTGGGGGGAAAATAATTGAACGTAGTGTATGTTTTTACGTAGTGTATGTTTATTTGTTACTAATTGCCTCAAAAAAAACTAAAAAATGTATTAAACTGGCAAACAAATTGAATGATTAGATTTTCTTCAAAAGCGCTCATAATTTCAAGATTTTGGTTCCTATCAGAATGATAAAAAACATCTCTGACCCCTAAAACTGCATTGCAGAGATTGGAGCTTACGATTTTCTCAAGTGCTTTCCAGTTTTGTATGCAGTATGCATCAGACAGTCAGACGAACAGCGAAGACTAGTTAGGTAAAGACCTCTACACATATTTCAATTTGATATGCCATTTTATTATTACCAGTGTTAGCAGGTGCTTTCTTTGTTTTTCTGTATTTTGCAAGAGGTGAATTTATGTAGTGATTAAGTATTTTGCTGTCATAACCAACAAAAAATGCAATACAATAAAATGTGCAATTCCTTTTGAATATTGTCCGAAATATCATTCCATATATCTGGTCAGCATGTAGAGCAATCAACCCTTTTTTGTGTGTAAACTTTGAGTTCAGATTTGTTTTTTTTTAACACACCAAGGCTATATCCTGCTTCGTGTATTTGAAATAATGTTTTTTTTTATGCAAACCAAAGCTGCATTTATTTGAATAAAATACAGAAAAAAATAGTAATATTATAAAATATTACTACAATTTAAAAGAACATTTTTCTAATTTAAGATTTTTTTAAATGTAATTAATTCCTGTATTGTAAACCTGAATTTTCAGCATCATTACTCCAGTCTTCAGTGTCACATGATCCTTCAGAAATCATTCTAGAAACTTATTATTATAATAATTGTTTATAGGATTGTTTGATAAATAGAAAATCTATTCTAAAATCTAAAATCTATTCTAAATGAATAGCATTTATTTGAGACTTTTTTGTGTAACAATTTGATGTATTTAATGCATTTTTACAGAATAAAATATGAATTTCTGGGGGGAAAATAATTGAACGTAGTGTATGTTTTTACGTAGTGTATGTTTATTTGTTACTAATTGCCTCAAAAAAACCAAAAAAATGTATTAAACTGGCAAACAAATTGAATGATTAGATTTTCTTCAAAAGCGCTCATAATTTCAAGACATGATTTTGGTTCCTATCAGAATGATAAAAAACATCTCTGACCCCTAAAACTGCATTGCAGAGATTGGAGCTTACGATTTTCTCAAGTGCTTTCCAGTTTTGTATGCAGTATGCATCAGACAGTCAGACGAACAGCGAAGACTAGTTAGGTAAAGACCTCTACACATATTTCAATTTGATATGCCATTTTATTATTACCAGTGTTAGCAGGTGCTTTCTTTGTTTTTCTGTATTTTGCAAGAGGTGAATTTATGTAGTGATTAAGTATTTTGCTGTCATAACCAACAAAGCCACTCCTGGACCCATAAGAGTTGCCATAGAAACGAGTCATTTCTGAGTCCCGCGATGTGAACAATTCAGAGTAGGATCTGAGTTGTCATCTCGTAATTACGGTAATTCTGACACGGCATATATGTACTGTCATAATTAAGTTTCTTAATGAAGAACAGTTAAACATTTAGAGAACATTTTCACTAAATCATTCTTTTTATTGCCCACTGATCAAATGATCATTTTGACCTGATCCAATGTGTAGTTCAACTTAAAATCTGATAATAGTTCTGAAGGAGTAACGAAAAGTTTTGAATACTTACAACCATACCATTTAACGACACCCAGCAATCAGGAGGGAAGTCTTGCAGGAGAGGCACCAGAAACTGCAGGCATCCATCCCAGTGACACAGCAACAACATCATGCCAATCAGGTTAAAGATTCTTACCACTGCACTCGCCAGGTCATATGTCATATGAAAAATCTGAAGGAGGAACACAAGGAGAAAAAGATCAGTGGTTTCATTAAAGAATAGTGCACAGGATGGCGTTTTGTTGAATAACAGAAATCATTATTTTGCATATTGAGAAAACAGTGTCACGTGACACTCAAGACTTGAGTAATGGATGCTGAAAATTCAGCTTTGCCAGCACAGGAATAAATTACATTTTAAATATAGTAGAAAATAAAACAGTTATTTTAAATTGTAATAATATTTCACAATATTACTATTTTTACTGCATTTCTGATCAAATACATGCAACCTTAGTGAGCATAAGAGACTTGTTTCTAAAATATTAAAAAAATCTCACCGTAAACTTGTAAAATAAATGATAGTGTACTGTATATTTGAATTTTTTGTTATTATTTTTCCCAACCCAAATGGTCATGTGATTTATTCAACAGCCATTTCAGAGTTCAGAGAAAGTAAATACATTTTAATTGTTTTTTTCCCCCCTCATATGTATAACATGCACTGATGAATCATGCACAATAAAATCAGTGACATTTATTAAGAAAGTAAATTGGCTACATTTTGATTTCAGTTAGTCTATAACAACTGAAAAGCTACTAGATACGCCTCATAGTCTGTTTCCAACTCTAATCTCCCTTGTTCTTATTAACCAGTGTTATGTTGTATCAAAATTGCTATGTAGACAAAACTGAGAATGTTATGCCTTTTCACCTCTTTGTAGATTTATATATCTAATAATGATGCATTGAGAATATCACTGGAGCGCTGCATCTCGCAGAATGATGAGCCACTGCCCTGGAGGATCATTCAAAACAATTACGCTTGACCCCAAAGACAGTCAATATGAGAAGAGAAGATGTGTTATCCATCTCATCTCTGCCTACTAAAAGCTCTGATACTTAAGTCAGCTAAAACCAGCAAATCAGCTTAGGCCTGTTTAACCATCAACTGCAATAACTTGAATAACCATTAACTTGACATATGGGAAGCTTGACAATACATATAATCAGGAGTGTGATTTATCAGATTCGAACAAACATTGGGCCAAATATTCAATGTATCATATTACCAAGTGACAGATGATTTTGCACCAAAGTACACTCAAAAAAAAAAAAGATTCTTTGGCTTTAGTGATTCAAACCTTCAACATCCATGGAAACTTTTCATTTGTGCAAAAGGTTCTTCGTAGTGTAAAAAGGTTATTTAGATTATTAAATGTTTTATTTAAGAAGTGTTCATTGAAAGGTTATTTGGGGAACCCAAAAATGGTGGTTCTGTGGAATTCACTCTTGAAAATAAAGGTTCTTTATTAGCATTGATGGTTTCATGAAGAACTTTAAACATTCATGTAACATTACATTACACAACATGTTCTTAATAGTGGAAAAAGGTTATTTTAAGAACTTTTCACTAAAAGGTTCTTTGGGAACCAAAAATGGTTCTTCAATGGCATCACTGAAATAAACCCCTTTTGGAACCTTTATTTTTAAGTGTGTACCTTTGACATCAAAAAATATATTCTTCTCCCTTTTAAAAGCATACTTATTGTGCTATCCTAAATATGCACAATTTTATGGTAAGTTTTTTATTATTTGCATTTGGCATTGTCAGAGCAGACCTGCTACTTGTTTTGGTCACGACCCACTCGTTGAGAGGTTTCATTGATAATGCCGCCCACAGGCTCTTACGTGAAACATTAGGGACTCTTACACACGATTGCAAGTGTCCTCGTCTGTCTTAGTGAATGCCTGGGATATTTGCATGTGTTTTGAGCAGTGGTAGATTTGGTTTATATTTCACAAGAGCAATAGTCAGGAGCAAAGAGAGGGAGAGGAAAGGAGAGAGGGAGATACAAAACAGGGGACATGGCCTGAAATGATATGAGATTACATATAAACACGGCAGATGATTAGTCATATGCAAGCTACATTGTGCGCTGGCACAACAGATACTCAGAGGGGTGAAAGGCTTTGAATTCCTAAAAAATCAATTCAGGCTTGGCAAGACGGAAGCGGGTGGCAATTTTAAATGGATTGAAATAATGCAGAGAAATGGATAGGGGGTTAGAGGAAGTGTGTGTGTGTGTGTGTGTGTGTGTGTGTGTGTGTGTGTGTGTGTGTGTGTGTGTGTGTGTGTGTGAAAGAGATACACATTTCTTCTTTTTGTTTTGCTGTTTATTCAGTGTAGTCAACTGAAAGAGACTATAGTTGTTATGTAATTCACATGGTCTCTTTTTTACATTTAGACTTTTACACAACTTCTCAGACTATTTACAACAACATAATTGCATTTTACTTCCATAACGTGACACACTGCTTGGTGAAACAGAATTTTCAATGTTTAAAAATGTATGGCAGGACTTGATTTTATCCATTGGGGATTGAACTAATTGTAAAAGTGTATATGACAGGTAATTTTAGGGGTTGGAAAATATGAGGAATTGGTCATTGTTAAAGATAAAAAAATATATACATATTTTTGGAATAACATGCACTGATGAACACAAAAGACCAGAGATGTATATTAAACAAGCACTAAGGAGCAATTTTTATCATCCCAGGCTCATTAGAAAAACATGCATGTGGCGACATTTTTTGCATTATGATGTGAAATGTCCAATGAGTGATGCTTTGGTTAGTTTTTTCTGAATCTGGTGACATTGTATTGCTTTGGTTGTTGTATGTATCGCGGCAGCTCAGAAATGAAATGTTTATGCTCTATTCCATTTGAAAATAATATACCAACTACCCTAAACCTAACTTATAGTGTTAATGAAAGCAAATGTGAGATAAAAAATGCATTTGCTGAAGGAACCATGCCATTTTAGCTAATTTCTATAAGTATTTTATTAGGACTTTGCATCGCAAGTGTAATGAAGAGCCACCAGGTGAGCTACGGAGTAAGTTTACTACACTAGAAAAGCTCGATTTAGAGCTGGTTATGTGATGAAAGTTTCAAATAATGCACTACGGTGAAAGTGTTTTGAGATAAACATAACATAACATAGAATTGTGCAAGGAACTGCATGAAAATAAATCTTTATAAATCGATAATCTGCCCCGAAAACATAATTTGTGTGAAATGTTGTTGGTGTTTCACTGCCAATAGTGTTAATTTCAGCTGGAAAGTCCAGTGAGTTGTATGAATATGTACATTTTTTGAGTTTTGCAAAAATGTAGACAGAGGCATGTTTTTCCAATAAGCCATTAAGAGCATGCTATATCACTGCTATGAAATATGCCAACATTACAATTCAGGCTGAAACTCCAAACACTTTTAACATCACCTCCTACAGCTTGATAATTTGAATTGGTCAGTTTCCTCCAACATGAATAAAGAGACAGATCCCATTGGTTAATGAGACAAGCTCATGTTATAGCGCAGCGCGCTCGTCCATCATTAGCGAACAGCATGGGATAAAAGGTTTCAACGGCACTGGCTGCGAACAAAGCCGATGTTCTCTCCTGAATGCATCTATGGGCACCCTCGCTAATTCAGCCATCCCTCATTTGCATGAAAAGCCCATTAACTCCACACATCACTCAGTTTATTTTCTATTCGGGCCAGTTATTTCATTATACAGCCCTGGCCGAAGAAACTCAATACTTACCATACATACCCCCGCCCCAAAAAAAGATCTCTCTAATGTTTTTCCCGGCTCCAGTGGACACTGGATTTGCATGATAAACCTAGAATTGCGGTGGATATTTCCCCTGCCAAATTAAAGCAGGATTTGAAGCTGAAGGTAATTGTTATCTATTTTTAAGTCAATGGGATTGCTCTTGCACTCCACATATGGCTGGAATTACTAAGGTGTGAATTTGATGCCGTTTTAATGGCCGCTTATGGTATGGGCCTGAACGCTGTGGTGATGGTTTAAGTTCATTTTATGCTCCACAAAACCCACAGTGAGATGGGGTGACCTTTTGTAGTCTCACACTATTTTTGAGTTACTGCAAAGAAGCCGAGGCGGCATTGTGAGCTAACAGAACAGACTGCCGAAACGGTCTCTGCAAATTTCTCTCCGATTTTGACGCTTGTAATGTGATACAGAAGCATTTCTTTATGAAATACTGAGGCTGTTGAATTTCTTTCGTCACAGATGCATTTTGCTGTAATGAGAACAGATGTTTGAAATCTATGCATATCATACTACATATTGAAATTGACCGTATTTATTTTCTTAAATGTCCCTTATTTTGAATAGTTTAATCAAAATATAACTTTATTCATCTCCATTTCTTGCCTAGTGAGTAAGGTCATTTGGGTGGGGAAAATCCTGCTCTACACCATTTCTTGTTGTTTTATGTGACATACATCACATTATTGCAGTTAAAGTGTTAGTTCACCCAAAAATAATAATTATTCACCCTCATGTCCTTCCACACCCGTAAGACCTTCGTTCTTCTTCAGAACACAAATTAAGATATTTTTGATCAAATCCGATGGCTCAGAGAGGCCTCCATTGACAGCAATGCCACCCAAACTTTCAAGATCCATAAAGGTGCTAACGACATCGTTAAAACAGTCGACGTGATTACAGTGGTTCTACAATAATTTTATGAAGCGACGAGAATACTTTTTGTGTGCAAAAACAAAACAGAAATAATAACTTAATTCAGCAATCTTTTCTCTTCCCTGTCATTACGCGGTTAACGCAGTAAGCACAGTGAAGGCTTCCGTGTTCTACGTCCGAACGTCGGCTCATTATTGGCCAAAGCTGCACATGTGAGCAGCGCGACTCATGCGTGTGATGCTGATGCAGGAGCCGTCCAGTAATGAGCCGGCATTCTGACTTAGAACCTGGAAGCGCTGGACATAAACAACGTATGAGAATGACACAGAAGAGAAGAGGTTGTTGAATAAAGTCGTTATTTTTGTTGTGTTTTTGCACACAAAAAGTATTCTCGTCGCTTCATAAAATTATTGTAGAACCACTGTAGTCGCGTCGACTGTTTTAACGACGTCTTTAGTACCTTTATGGATCTTGAGAGTTTGGGTGGGGTTGC